ACGTTTAATTGCTCAAAGTGAACACAGGCCATATATACTGGCTCATAGCTTTATGTACCCCTTCGAAAACGACCTCCAATTTGTGCCAGTTCTAAACTGTTGTACAGCCCTTTTACGCAACGGATACACAAGGTATATACCTGGGTATACTTCTATATATATATAGGTGTATATGTAGGGAGTATATACAAGGCAATATACAGCGGTGTCATGAGGATTGTGTTTGGGCGGGGGGGGGGGGGGGGGGCACCCACTATGGAGTTTTTTGAGAGGGTCACGTAGATGTACGTCTCCTCTTAGTGGAATCGGAGTGCGCGCTGAGGACGCAATCTCTGATATGAGGGAAACTGGCACTCTGCTGGAGACCCCCCCCCCCCAACCCCATCCGACTGGTAACTGCCAGTAACGATTTGTGGCCAAACTTACCTTTGTAAAAGCTTCCCCTTGAATTCACCAATTTATTGGAGTGATTCTGGGACATATCAGCTCTAGAAACATTACTTCGACCTTCTAATTTGCTTGTCAGCTACTGTCTACACAATTGAATTACCTTTATTCCGGCATTTCGAAGTGCCAGAACCTCCATCCACTGTACTCTAGAACCAAGGTTGCTCAGTTAGGTAATGATCCCAGCAGGTATGAGAGCTGTACGACATCAAACATGGCCCGCGAAAGTGAAAATTCAGGTACGCGCAGTTCCAGTAAGCAGATGCTCTTTCAGCGCTTTACAAGTGAGCATTGTGGCACACAAGGCAGTATCATGCAATGGCTTCTGCGACACAGAAGAGATGTATATCAAAAATAGTTTGATCACATCTGTAACTTCAATCGTAGGCTTGCCCACTGATCCGTATCTGGCACTTCACAGAACTTGAAGCAATGGGGAAAGAAATAGACGCTTATACATAGGCGGCTGCAAAGGACAAGCAAAATGTTGCGCTTAAGCTGCAGGCATGTTTCCAAGATTAGCTTGCTTGTCTGAACGACCCCATTAGCACCCAGTTTCGAAAACAGATTTCTTAAAGCTTCCATTTTCTGAACTTTTGTTTAGATGCCAATTTTGTTAACGTATCGTTGCACCTTGGCAACTACTCCATGAATCACATTTATAAAGGGTCACACTGCTACAAAGGGCCGCAGTAGTTGGCAAGGCCGGTCGTTCAGACAAGTGCTCTACCAGTTGAACACAAGAGAGCTATAATTATAAAAAACATCGAATATACGATTTTATCAACAAATCTCGGCAGCCACAATTTATTTTGGAACAAAAAGAATGCACATCATCACAACAGCAGAAGCCCTATGAGAAGTCACACTGGGAAGGTGCAAGTATAGTCTGGAATAAAATATTGTAACTATCAGAATTCACACTTCACTGGGCAAAGACGACATATGGTAGCACTAGGGATGCATACTCTCAATCGAACAAACCTTGTAGCAAAGATACGTCTTAGACGAAGGAAGGGGAAAAAATACAAGGGCAGAAGCTTACATGTACCTTATAAATCAGAAGCAATACAGGACAGGAACAATGCAAAGCAGCATATGTGCACAGCAGCAAGTAAAATGCAATTGAACAAAAACATTTGCAAACAGTTTTATTGAAGGATGTAACACTAAAGAATTCAAATAATATCGGAACTCTACTAGACTGAATGATACAACTTCACAAGACAGCAGCATTTCTTTCTTAAAAGCATGACACACAAGCCTGCACCAATCAGTATGCACTACAGACTGACATCAACAGATGAATGGCTGTCGACCTAACCTGTTGGAGAGCATTGCCGAGTACTTGAACATAACTATTCATTATTCACCAAGGTGACTGGCTGTTGTACTTCAGTTATCTCGGCAGGCACCTACATTTTTCTAATGTGCAACCTATCACTGTTTTAGAACATGACAAAGTCTTCACTCTGAGAGTTAAGAACCCTGCTTTGCTGTTACACTTTACTTATTACGGCCTGGCCCATGTATATATTTTCTACAACATCACACAAACATAGCAGGATCAGACAACACAAAAGGTGAACAATACGAGTCAAACATTTGAAACAGGCTCCTATCAGATTGCATGTTTCTGTCATGATTATGGTTATACCCCTAACCCCTGCAGTCACTGTACGCTTTCTCGCATAGTTATAATCTTACATGCCCACTGACAGAACGAAGCGTGCTATTCTGATAGTCAAGTTGGAAAGCATATACCAGCAGAAACATGAGGGAAAGATACAAGGAGTACTTGGATGATGTTGCGGACTATAAGCAAGTGGCTAAATGATAACATTATACCATATAATAATGCTCCGAATGCCGTCCAACCACGATGCCCGAAGCAAACGGATTCTGAAGAAGTGAAGAATCCAGAGCTTGCACCCTAAGATTTGGGATGGTTAAGGTGAACTACTTAATTGTACGAAGAACGTGCTGAGAAGGTCCGCACAGTAACCTCAAGACCAAACCAAAGGATCACCATGTTGAGCCGTGTATGGCTGATATGAAAGAGTGTTGCCCAAGACTTGCCAAGCGCACGCGCACACACATAAAAAAGCTTCCTTGTCTTATAGATAGATGAATTTGTTCCAAGTTCACAAGCTTTTCGTGCAGCTTGATGCAAATCAGCATCGATATACTGCTACATTGCACAATGTGAACGGATGCCTCTATCATAATAGAAACGTTTCATACGCCATAGCAAGAATTCCATATGTTTCCATAATATACCTATGGAAAACAAATGAATTCTGTGAGCAACCATACACATTTATTGAAATTGCAAACAGAGAATTAGGTCATATATAGGGCTTAATAGGGCTTCAATACGGTTGAAGCCATATATACGGCTTAAAACGTGCACATGGGTCTATCAATTGTATTGAAGCCGCATACGGTCATGAAATCTAAACATGATAATGAAAACTTGCACCTAACGCTAAGCTTGCACCATTAAATGTCATATATGGGTCACTTATATTTGACATAGTAGTTAAAAACACGATTAACTGCATGGCCCAGGGTAGACCTATAAATAACTAGCATGTCTCACGGAGGCAACAAAAGATGCAGTCTGTCACCCAGTCTTCATCCACTGGTGGTCGAAGAGCGATTCAGAAGAGCATCCTCACACGAAGTGAATACTGAAGAGAACACGAATGGGCTTTCTTTTCCGATGCATTCACCAGAAGGCAAGCTAAAGACGAATTCTCGTGGACATCAGAGACACCATGTCCACATGACAGGGGTATCTGGAGTATTGCCTTGCCCATCCAGGAGGCACAGGCCAAACGTGGATGACAACTCTGGTTTGGCAAGGAAGAGGCAGGAACCAGGAGAGAATCCTTGTGGACGCAAGGACGCCATGGCCACAGGATAGGGGTATCTCGAGGATTGTCTAGCCCATCCAAGATGCGTAGGCCGGATGTAGACGGCGATGCGGGTTTGGACATAGCATCCACTGGACGGGGACCACAGACTGAAAAGCTGTAAGAACACGAAGGTTTTACAAGTAAATGTCTTCCAGATACACAGCTAAGGCACGCATGGAAATGAAAGTTCATGGCGGGTCAGGACACCGTATTTGATAATGCGAAATTAGGACTTGGCCTAGAAATGGGCAAGAAAGTGGTATTTATCTTATTCTGGAATCGGTCAACTATTGTACGCTATATTAAAAAGTTGTGGTTTTAATTGCAGCGGAGAAGGTGGATTTTTCAGTGCCCTAATTTAAGTCAACTACAACACCATCATTAAAGACTATGCCCCCATGTTTTCCTTTAGCTAATCGATTTATTTTGTAGTGCCTAACAAACAGATGAGCCTTTGAAATTTTTGTTCATAGCGAGCTTCACCAGGCAGAGGTTATACCTCAGGCTAACATATGTGCGTTTATTCTTAAGCAGCAATATCGTGCAAAGGTCACGTGCCAGCTTCAGGTAAAAAGTTGCACACTCGCCACCTTCCCTGCAAGTGGTGCTGGCAAACACTCTTAGATTTTTCAACCGCTGACTCGTTTATTTGTCCACTGATTGTCTTAAATGGCCCCTGAACCCCTCAGATATTTTCCCAGACATATAAAGTAAACAAGCGCATTGCGTGCAGAATGCCATCGCGATCAACGATGCCACATGCCGCAGCAATACAGCTAGCGGGCGAGCCACAATTTCAAAAAAACAATACCTTCTCTTGTTCAGTCCCCGCCATTCCCGCCTCTTACATGTGTGACATCACTCGTGAAACTCGACGACGTGACCACTTTCGATGCTTGCGATTGGCCGAACGACAACCAACGACTTCCAGTCACTCTGCAAACAGCTGTTCGCGCGCACCTTGCTGTTCTTGGTCGTGTTGCCACTTGCAAATCGACATCTGCGGCCCCTAACGTAGCACAGGGTTCATACCGGCACGATTCGTAGGGGCACGGGCCAGCACAACAGCAACAGCGGTTAGTCAACGATCAGTGCACCCAGACGACACACAACACAGTTGACCACGAGCTGGGTCATCGGAGTGGCGGATCGCAGCAACCGGAAGCAGACGCTGTCTCGAACAGCGCGTCAGCGGTGATGTATGCCACGCGAGATGAGGAGGGGCACTCAGCTGACTCGGCAAGGAGGGTGGTGGTAGTGGTTAGAAGATGAGAAAAGGCACCTAATTTTTGCAACCCGGTCGGGAGCACGGCGCAGTGCCCGCGGGGAAGGGAAAAGGGAGAAAAGTGGGAAAAAGAGAAAAGATTAAGTGAGCAGTGGCACGGTCGTCATCAACACGAGCAGCAGTCCAGAAGCAAGGGTAGGGGTGGCAAGGGGCCCGTCCTCAGCGGTAGGCCACGATTCCCGTCTCGTCCAGGAACTCCACCAGGCTCATGAGCGCTGGTAGATGGGGACGAGATGGGAACAGTAGGTGCTCTAGGGTGGTGGCAGGAAGGCCATGTCTCCGGTAGACTGCGGTGACCCTCGAGCGTTCCTGGGCCAAGGCACTCGTCCTGTAGTGTCATAGTGACGTCATGATCGCGCCACAAATTCTGTCGAACTGTGACGTCTTGGGCAGGCACAGAGGAGGTACTCGAGGGTCTCGAGGTCGCCGCAGCGGCTGTAGGCTGGGGAGGCGCAGCATCCTTTGAGGTAGCGGCGGGCCGCGGTCCACACGCATCCGGTCCGCAGCCGCAGCAGGTTGGCTCGTTCTCTCCTGGTGAGGCCTGCCTCGGGAAGACGCCTGGGTCCCCGCCCATTGGCCACCCTCTGGCCCGGGTGGACCAAGGCGAGGAGCTTCTTGATAAGGGCCTGCGTGTAGTCTCTCACCACCACGGCTTGGGTGATGGGGGTTCCCAGCTGGTTTGCTGCCTTGGCCAGCGTGTCCGCCTCCTCGTTGCCAGCTATGCCCACGTGAGAGGGCAGCCAGTAGAAGGAGACGGACGTCCCGGCTGCTGCAGGGACCAGTACTTGGTTGCCAGGAGACTCCCCGTGAGCCCGGCACGGCGATGGTTGGCCAGCATCTGCATGGCTGCCTTGCTGTTACACAGGACTGCAACCGGTTGAGCCGGAAGGTCCTCGGCCAGCAGGTCCGCCACCAGGTGTAGCCCTGCCAGCTCAGCAGCCGTCGAGCTCACCGGGAAGGGCAGTCGGCACTGCCTGCTGATGGCCCGGGATGGGATGACGCAGGCGGCCGCCACTGAATCATCTGGCATGACGGATCCGTCAGTGAAAACCTGGAGCCACCCTGCCAGTTGCTGGTGGAGCTTGGAGACGGCGGCCTGTTGCAGTGCTGCAGCAGGTGTTCGGCGCTTGGTTACCCCGTCCAGGTACAGGTGGACCTCAGGCGGCTGGTGGTGGGGTGGTGGAGGGGCCACCGGGACTGGCGGGTCCGGGACCATCTGGTGGTAGAGTGCACAGAGACCACCCATCCGTGACCTCGGCTGTCTGCGAAGTCGCTCCAGGAGGGTTATGCCATCGGCAGCACTGTGTAGGCGGTCTACTTGCCCCAGAGCACGCTGGAGCACGTGCAGGGACAGGGGCCACTCTCCAGCCTCGGCCAGGGTTGCTGCCACGGGGGAGTACGTGGGGAGCCCCAGGATGGCCCTCACTGCTCTCCTGTGATGTCCCTCCAGGTTCAGTCTCCTGGCAGGCGTCAGGGCCACCAGTGGAAAGGCGTACAGCAGGACTGAGGACGCTGAAGCCTGGCTGAGTCGAAGCGCCAGCTTAGTTGAGCAGCCGCGTCCACGCTGCTGCAGCTTGCTGATGGCTCCCTGAACACGCCGTACCTGTGTGCAGGCGACCTTGGCAGCTGGGACCCAGGTGAGACGGTGGTCGATGGTGAGCCCCAGGTACTTCACCGTCAGCTTCCAAGGCAGGTTGCGGTTGCCGACTCTCAGCTGCTTCACGTAGCGTCGTGCTGCGGTCAGCGGGTGGATCAGCAGGGCCTCGGTCTTGGTTGCGGAGACCTTGAGTCCGATGCCACTCAGATAGGCGGACACCGCATCAAGGGCCGCCTGCAGTGACGTCCTGATGGCTGGAACGGACCGCCTCGGTCCCCGGGCCCAGAGTGCCACGTCGTCGGCGTAGACAGAGCAGTGGGCCGGCAACCTGGTGCCTGTAGGAAGAGAAGCGGGGAGCCCTGCCATCGCCAGGTTGAACAGGAAGGGGCTCAGCACAGAGCCCTGTGGTACACCTGCGGTGATGTCCCTGGGTTTGCTGGTCTCCTTTCCGACTCGAACCCGGAAGGTCCTGCCGGTCAGGAAGGCAGTCACGAAGCTGCGGAGGCACCCTTGAACGCCAAACCGGTCCAGCGACGTCTCGACGACCTCGTGTGGGAGACTGTCAAAGGCACTCTCCACGTCCAGCAGGAGCAGCATGGCCACGTCACCACAGCTCTTGGCATCCTCAAGGGTGGAGACGACATCGGAAATGGAGTCGGCTGTGCACCGGTGGCGCCTGAAGCCAGTCAGTTGTTCCGGGAAGAACTCGAGTTGGCCAGCAATCCACTCGAGTCGCTCCAAGGCCACCTTTTCCAGCACCTTGCAGGGTGCTGAGGTGAGAGAGACTGGCCTGTACGAGGAGAGGGCCATGGCTTTCTCCGGGGCTTCAGGATCGGGGCGACAACCGCAGTGCGCCATGACTCCGGTAGGACCCCCACTGCTCCAGACGTCGTTGTAGTACTCAAGCAGGTGCTGGCGGCCAGCTCCGTCCAGGTTACGGAGCATCTGGAAGGTGACACCATCAGCTCCCAGGGCACTTCGTCTTTTCGGTCCTGCAAGGGCAGCCTCCAACTCGTGTTTCCTGATGGGTTCGCAGCACAGCTCTTGTACTTGTGCGGCTGTCCACCCAGGATGGTGGCAATTGGCAGGATACTTCAGCGCAGCAAGGGGAGGTGCAGCAGGCAGCTGGGCAATGTCTCTCGCAGAAAACTGGTCACCCAGCTGTTCTGCCAGGTCCGCTGCCTGAATGGAAACGTGGACGGCCAGGGACATCACTTGGTTGAACGGCCATGGCGCTACCAGCAGGCTATTCAGCAGGCGCCAGGCCTTGGTGCCATCCCGTGATCGCTCGATGGAGGCGCAGACGCCCACCCAGCCGTGCTTCCTGCGCGCTCGGGCGCGGCGTCTGCAGGCAGCGTCGACATTCCGGAACACTGTCTAGAGCTCTGCTTGTCCCTTCTTCAGAGCCTGGCGTTCTGCCCGCCTCCGTGCTGCTCTCAAGGCTAGGTGCCAGATGTCTGGAAGAGGCTGCCCTCGCTGCGCCTTGACAGCAATGGTTGCAGCCCGGGCACTGTCAGCCACCAGCTGCATGAGGTCCTTGTCGCCGGTGTCCTGCCTGAGCAGCTGCCGGTATACCCGCCAGTATACCACACGGTACTCTCGAGCCCTGGGGGCCTTGCCTCGAAAAAGGGTGAGTAGGATGGGCAGGTGGTCCGAACCCCAGGTGTCCGGGAACGGTGTCCAGGCGCACCGGCAACCCTGCGTAGCCGCGCTGAGGTCTATAGCTGTGGTGGTGCCGTTGGCTCCGCGACGCAGGTAGGTGACGGCCCCTGTGTTCAGAATCACCAGGCCCAGCTGCAGCAGGACGTCTCGCACCTCTCGCCCTCGTACGTCGGTGCTGCGGCCACCCCAAGCTGGATGGTGGGCGTTGACGTCTCCACACAGCAGGAAGTCCTTCCCCAGTTAGTGCGCAAGCTGCCGAAAACACCCGGGGTCCCATGGTTCCTTGGGTATCATGTAGACGCTGGCCACCGCGGTATCAACACCGTCGAGGCGGACCCGGATGGCGCTGCACACGAAGGGCCCTCCGACCAGGCCGGCCCAGGAGGGGCCAAGCGGCTTTGGAAGAGCATAGTGTAGGAAAGAGGAAAATCAGCGATCGCCTCGTTTCGATCATCAAACGCGTGTAACTCCGCTATTACGGCACCGTTTCGAAAAATTCTCACGGCTACGCGTTTGTTGTAAACTCGAGCACAGCTTCCTCACCTCAACTAAATTTCGACCACTGGGTGGTTTAGGGGCCCTTAAAACTAAAATTGAGAACATATAACGTCCCTTATGTTTTATTTTACTTAAATGATATTAATTTGGCGAGGTCACATAGAACTTGTATGTGGGAGACACAACAAGACAAAGCGAAATGTCTGCTGAGGCCAGGAAGAGTAAGCGCCTTGTACCAACACGTTGAGGTTCGGCGATGATGAGCAAACCGGAATGCGGTGGCTCCGGCTTTAGGACGCGGGGTGGTTGGTGATGAGTGAACGCTGTTTGCTGGCGGCGCATCGTCAAGTCAGAAGAACCTGGCTGGGCAGCTGGGTGCACAACTTGCGCCCTTGGCCCGAAGGATGCAGCTCGCTTGTCGGCATCGAGGTCCACAGGCCCTGTGCTGGAGTTCAGGACCGGATGTCCATGGCCCTATCAAGCGGGAACGCGACGGTAGAAGGCCCCGGCCACTTGAAGTCTTCGACGCTCGGGTCCGACACTCAACGGGCCATCTTCAGCGCCCGGTACGGTGCCAACATTCCCGTGCCCACGTCCTCTTCGAGCTCCCTGCTCTTCTTTCCCGGGTTTCCTCTCTTGCTTGAACTCCGGCCCAATCATCCCGTCCTTGTTGGTTACGCCAGAACCATAGAGAAATAAAAAAAAGGTTAAGAGTGGACACTCCCGTAGACCCCAGCGGCCCAATCGACCCTAGCACACCTGGTGGTTGGTGGGAGCAAGTGGCGTGCGCTTCCTCTTTCGGTTTCACTGGCGCAAATTTTGAATTACTTTGCGTAACCGACGTTTGGCTATGACGAAAGTTCATGATTTCAGACCACTTTTCATCGCCCAAATGGATAGTTTTTGTAGGTCGTTTTGATTTAGCGATTCCGTTTTGTTTTGTTCAGTGGTTCGTGCGAATTGGTCGTGACGTAATTTTTATTTCGATTAAGTTATAATAAAAAGAGATGCAGGTAATGATAATTCACTACGGTTTTATTCATCGCTTTGTGTTTTTCTTTTGGAACAAGTGATCAATGTATATATCAGTCAAAGAGACAGAGTATCCGCAATGTTTTATTCAAAGGCAAGGTAGAGTCTGAGAATATAAAAAGCACAATATGACAAAGGTAGACAACAAATGCATCTCGCCTTATAAATAAATTGTAACAAATATTGCAACAAATACAGAGAGAACACAGAAAACGCACACATCGCTAGAGTTGGCAGAAGCCGAGAAGCTGGTGAAGTATGACACACCGGGCCAGAGGGTAAGTAAGGATCTATGGCAAAAACGCAGCGCACAATGCTGATAAAGAAGGAAGAAGTGACATATACACAGCAATGAAGTCGCGAATCATGCCTGGGGTTAACTGAAATAATGCATAGAAAAAAAGAGCGCACAGAAACCACACGACACAATATAGCAGAAAGGCAAATATGCAGTGTGCTGGCTGTGCTTAAGAACAGCTAGCCCAAAATGAAAAAAAGCAGACTTGATGCCTGCTTGTCCTCAGAAAGGTAGGGCTTTGCAGCTTGCTCACTACGTGAAAGACAAACTTTATGCTACAACACTGGCAGGTCTTGTGGCTCTTCCTATGCGTCGCCTTCATCAAAAACTTAAGTTCCCAAGTGATTTGCGTCTGGGTGTTGCTGTGACGCTTGCGAGCTAAAATAGATTGTAGTCATCACTTATCCAAAATTGTGGACCCCAATTGGTGCTACGAGAGCAGTATTACAGGGCTAATAAATAGCAGAAGGAAACCACTTTGGCTCATTATTTTTCACAAAGGCTCTACATCGTACGTTATCACTCACAAGCTATATAAAAATAAAATGGCAGCATCCGCAGCCCCATCAAACGCTACAAGTTTGGGTATTCTTTTGAAAATTTTGATGGGCGAGATGAGGAGGTTGATGAGAAGCTAAAATACGAAAAGCGTGATAACGTGAACCGTGCCCACTTCATACTGTGTTCCTTACCCGCTCGAAGACATTTCAACAAGTGGTTTCGTTATCGATATATTACTTGAGCTGGAGAGAGAAAGCATACACAGTGACCAAGCGACCCACAGTAATGTGTACAGTTCGCCCGTATTTGCTACAAAAATACAGACAGGATACCCAACATTCTTTTTAAGGTTATGCAAATCACTTCGAGCGAATACACAGTGTCCCTACTCCTCATAGCGGGTAACCAAAACAATGTATGCAACGAAGGAGTGGTTAGTCCAGCTGAACTGATTATAAGCATGTAAGACCATAATGAAGTCTGCTGTAACGAAGTAATAACATAACAAAGCTATTGCAGGATTCGGCTCAACTCGAATACTTTAGTGTAAACCCGCCGCTAATTGCTAACCTTTGAACTTGTCAAGCTGTATGCCTGATATTGAAGACTGGAACCTAACCCTATCTAAGTTTCGGTTCACAAAACGCACATGCCAACATAAACGAACCCGGCAAAACATTTTCAGAAACTTCGCGCGACACCCAGCAGAGCAGAAATGGAAATCGCCAGCACTTGACAGATGGTGATACAAAACATCGCACACTTTCAGGTGATGTGCAGTGGCCTCAATCATGGCAAGAAAGTGAGATTCAAGTTGTACGTATGCAAAAGCTGCTTCTGATGGCACAGTGAGATTCCCAAAAAGTTTGCTGAGGACGTGGTATGCTTTGAGAATTTTGAAATACCGGTGGGTACTCTTAAGCGTCTCACTGTCGTCTTTCAGTAACTGTGGGCAACTGCAACCATCGCATGCATTCCGAAGGAAGTGTTTGATGAGAAAACCAGCTACATAATATGCAGCGGAGTCATCGATAATATCGGAGTGAATGTTGGTCGCAAGTTCAGAGAGATCGTCTAGAGCGGGAAAGTCGTCAGGCTGTGGCTGTGCACACTCCTCATTATCCACAAGAGACGCACTGGTGAGGGAGAATGGCGAGAGCTGCTCCTGGAGGAGGTCACATTCATCATCCTCGACATTTCCGTATTCTGACAGCTTGAAGAGTTTCCTTATGCAGATGTGCTTCAGGCCACAAATAAATTGTGCTACATTGGCGTTGGTGTTGCAACCCTGTTTTTGCCTAATGTGGCCAAATATGTTCTCCAGAGGATCCTGTTGAAGCCTGCGTGTTAACAGGTATTCAAATTTGTAATTTTTGGAGAGGTCGTCCCATAGTTGACAAATAGCCTGAATTGTAATTTGCCAACCTACGATGGTTTGTGGTTGACGTCTGCCAACAAACTGCCATGATGCAATCCAGGGAAGCTGGCCTCGGAGGAAGTCAATCAGCTCTGAATCATTTTTCATGATTGCATGCCACTGCTTTTGCGATGTTCTTTTTTTACTCGAGCTGTTCAAGGCATCGAAAATCCTGTCAATACAATCACAAAACTGAGCTGTAGTGATGGCCGAGGCAGGCAGCACCTTCGCATACACCATTGCCGTGATAGCAATCGAAACTGATGCACTGAGGACCTGAGTTGCTCTGCTGACCTTCATATTAGAAAAAGGTTTCTGATGAACGTGCCGTTCAGTCAACTTTGGAGCCAATCGCAACCGCAACTCATGTGAGGATTGGTAAAGGCTTACAATGTGCGACCAGTTAACGATGTCATCCCCAATGTATAACTTGTGTGCTTGGACATTATTGCGCGTTGTTTTAATTAAATGCGGAACATCAAAAATGTAATACACCCGCTCACCATTAACTTCAAAAAAAGGCTTTGCTACAGTGCCTCTTAGTTGGTTAGCGAGACTTACATTTGAACTGCCCTGGTCACAAATGACTGCTTTCACTGCAATAATAATGCTCCTAAGCTCCAAAATGAGTGACACCAGCAAGTTATGCATAACAGATGATGGTGTTGATGTGTGCCCTATAGTAAAAACAACCGGTTGAACCCACTTTCTCAAAACACCAACAAGAAGAAAAAGCAGTGCTCGATCAACAATGGTTGAAGTGCGATGAGTGCCATCATCTGTAAAACCCTGGACAACGTCTTT